GCGTTTTAGAAAAAAAAAGAAGAAATAAATAAATTGGAGACATGCGACGCAAGTCGACGACACAGCAGACAAAGTGCAGACAATGTTATCTCTTTTAATTCATATCGTTTATGCCTTGAACGCGAAAAAAAAACTAGTGAAAAAATATGCCAACAAAAATGAAGTTGAAATGTAACAGGAATTGGATGACTTCATTTTTTTATTTCTCATTTTCTCTCTTTCACTCTTGTCGAGTGAGCAAAATGCAGCCGCAGAAAAAATGCGACACCGAAAAATTTATTCGGTGGAATATTTGTGTCCTCATTATTTTTCAGTGTCATCTATGATGATGATTGTGAAATAATATTTACAGGCAAATGTGAATGTATGAATGAAACAAAAGAAAAGCTCACACGAACGATTTGCATAAGGGCAAAACAAAACGGCATGAGCGAATGGAGAAAAACACAGAGAGATTTCGGTGAAAAATGCTTACTTCGGATTAAACTTTGGCGTACTGGATATTCACAATCGTAATATATAAAATAAACGGCGGCTCTAACAGCAAGCTCTGTCTATATCTCTGCCTTACGCTCGCTTACTCGCTGGCTCGTCATGCGGCAAAACATACCATGCTCGTCGCTTCATAGTCAAATCATATGCACTCAATTCATAAAATGAACACACAACTATCAGCCAAATCATAAATTCTCGACGGAATAATCTGTGCAATTGCAGACGGAATTTTTGCTGTCTGTCATTTGTTTCTCACCCAGTTTCGCTATGTCTACCCGCCTCTTGCTCTATTTCTGCCTCTTTCTATCTATCTTATTTTTTACTACGCTTCTACATCGGAGGTTTATTCGATTTTTCTCTCGGTCTGTCTTGCTTTGTGCTACTGCAGAATGAAAAGCATTCGTGCCAACGCTTTTTAGTAATATTTTCCATGAATTTTTCCCTCTAGCACTCATCTCTCGTCAGTACATTTGTTATAAAAATCGGGCTGATATTGTGTGACTGCCGCCAACTTTGCGATCATATTTGCTGTATTATAATACCATGCTTGTTTTCATAAATCGAAGTGTCTGTTTCTCTATCTCTCTCATGTGCACTACAAAAATAAAATTAAAATCATAATAACATGCAGACGCAAACAAAGCGACTTCGATGCAAACGCACAGATATATTACAAACTAACTGGCGCATAAGAAATCACGTTAAAAATTGCTCCATTCTATTTTTGTAAATGCACATTTAGACGCGTGTTCATCGTCTGTTTTCTCTACTGGAGACAATACGCAATTCATTTGTTTAATCTACAAGGCGAGCATAAAATGAAGAGAAAAACTGCAGAAAAATTCATGGCAATGCATAGCATGAATCCACATGAACATTTTTGTGTTTCATTGTCGTTCATCGTTGGTATGAGTCGTTTCTTGGAATGTCCAATTCAAAACATAAATAAATCACACAATAATGTTCAACGTTTTCTCTTTATTTTTTGCATACCGTTTTCACTCAGACCAACGGTTTTTCAAGTTTAAGTATTAAAAGGGGTTAAATGGATTCAGTCGCACGCCTTTAAATGGCTTATTCTTCAATTTGAAAATTTTTATTCTAATAAAAGCAGTTTTTAGTTTATAATTTCAAGTCAAATTACTTGTTAATGGACAAAACAGACGCACTTATGTTCATTCTCTCTTTTCGTTCACTTCGAAGCTCAATTATCGAAAGTTCAATTTTAATTTTCCAAACAAAATTAACCTGACGATCCATAATTTATGGCTTCAAACTGCGCAACAAACTCATTCTGAGTTGACGTTTTTGTTTCCATCTGATATAATGAAAAAAGAATATAAATGTGTCGTTAATTTGTATTATGCTCTATAAAATATCGAGAAAATATCTCTAGTAAAAGCTAATCCATTTGGTTTTTCTTCTTCTTACGTTCACGAACTTTAAAAGCTGTATAAATCTTTTAAAATGAAGTGGTGATTTTCCGTTTTCAGATGCCGAGTTAGACATTTTCAGCCATTTGGTCGTCTTGCACAAGGCTTCAATTTAATTTTATGAATTGGAAAATGTGCTGAGACAAGGAAGTGGCCGAGGAAAACGAGAACAAAAAAACAAAATAAAATTAAACAAACATTTCAACAGCCGCACAGATTTTATTGCATAAGTTTTTCGAGGAACAAAAAAAAATTGGCTTTTCCGGTCGGTTTGCATGGCAAACAGTGCATTGCATGTGTCATAAAATGAAATGGTATTTTCACTCGGCGAACAATTCAAACTCTCCGCAAAATCCAAACAGCCTGAATTTTGTTGGTCGGAAATAAAATTTGGCAAAATACACACATACACACGCATAGAGAGAGAGAGAGAGAGAGAGAGAGAGAAAAAACCGAAAGAACAGGCTAGTCCGAGACTGCATATAATTCCGGTATAAAACGCTCAAATCAATATGATAATGCTTTCGTTCTTTAATTATTCGATCGATTTCATTTTCATTTCGATGGGCATTTTGTTTGTTCCGTTTCCATTGAAAATCAACAATCAGCAGTCAGACGAGCGAAAATTTTGCGCTACAAAATTAATGAACATATACATACATATAGACATAAACACGAAACGAGGGGGTAATATTTGGTTTGGCACGCCATCATCGGCCATTTGAGTACTGCAAAACTTTTTGAAATCACCATTTTTTTTTTTTTTGTTATCTGCACTTTCTCTCAACCTCGTTCGCTCACTTCCGCAATACCGGTTTCGTTCGTTTGGTCGGTTTCGTGTAATATAAGCATGCACGCATTAAAAAGTCCAAACTATCGATAGTAATTGCAGTTTTATTGAAATCGAACGTACTTTCGGCCATTGTTCAGCATTAATACGTGTTCATTCGCGAGGTTCTATTGTCAATACGGTTTGTGTGTGTGTATTTTGTTTCTCGTTTTTTTTCTCGGTCGAATAAAGGCAATTCAGTTTTATATGCTTTGTGTGCTTTTTGCCTCTTTATTTTTGTTATCTCGATGGGGGTTTCTTTTTTTTCTCTCTTTCTCTCTCTCGTGATTGTTTCGATGCAAGTAAAAAAGACATCGTAACACACTGAAGGCAATTCCGATCGCATGTGCACAATAACCAGATTCATATCCGTATCGATAAAATTAAAAGCGCAAAGTTAGAGCTCGAAATCAAATCGAAAAACGATGCAACACACACAAATGAACGTAATTTGTAACATCGACCAAAAACAGCCACTGGAAAAACTTTTTTATAACGGTTTTCCGTTATATATATTCTCTTTTTTTTTCATTTATCTTTATGTCGCTTTTTCTCTTTTGAGCCGGCCCACTCAGTAGATCGATTGGGTTTTTTAGAGCGTTTTCCATTTTGTCATGTCGATGTTTGTAATACACGCACATAAATCGCTTTAGCACTTTTTGTGTATTCGCTGTGGCGGCAACAAAATTGAGATTGCACATGCAGAGAGGAAGAGAGATTGCACACACGTCGACATGCAGTTTTCAAGTGGTGTGTCGCAGTTTTCAAGGCAACAAAAGACGAATTTATCGATTTTGGTGAACAATATGAAATTGGCCAGGCAATCTCGTTTGTATTCTTCCGGTTGCTAAACTAAATTACCGTAAGTATTGAGTGCGGACGTTTCTTTTTTCAATGTTTCTTTCATGCCAATAAGCTTAAAAATATTGGTTTAATAGTTTTAGTGTGTTTCAGTTTTATCAAATGTTCACAATCGATTTCCAGGTACAAATGCACTTACGGAATTTCACAAATAAAACCAAATCAGAATGAATATTGAGAAAAACATAATACTCGACCCAAAAAAAAAATAACAACTAAAAATGCGGCACACAAACAATTGGCATATCCGGTCCATTCGAGTGATTTCAAATTCACTTTATTGCAATAGAGAGATGTGAAAACTGTGAGAACACTGTATGTGTGTGTTTGATACTTTTTCCATATGCAACTGATAAAATGCACACGCACGCATTCACAATTGCCAAAAACATTGATATTAATTGCAATACTGCTTTTGGTTTGAGCATATTTTTTTTTTGTTTCAAACCGAGCGTAAATATACTTTTGTGTGCGTTTCTGTTGATGTGTGTGCGATTTGGAAAGAGAGTGAGGAAGAAAAAAGTGCATGTTTTGTGGTCAAAATACGATTATATGACAATAAAATATTGCCTAGTGATTAATTTTCCAGTCGGAAAATATGAATGTTTTGCTCGACATAGATAAATTTTTCACGGGCAACAAAATCGGATTTTCGAATATTGTTTGCCAGAGTTTGGTCGCTAACAAATAATGAAATTCATATATTCCAACTGAATGGCAATGCCATTTCTCTATACAAAACTGTGGAATTCAACTAATCAAACTCGAGACGCGTACTGCAGATAAAAACAAACAAACACATGAACTGAGTCGAACAGCTCAAACTGCATATGGATGGATAAGGGTTCTATATTTTTTTGGTGGATTATGGAACTCGAAAATACAATCGCAAAACACAATGCGTTTAATACATGCGGCTAGCTTACTATATACTGACCAAGTATCAAGTAGCTGGCTTTAGTCTGGACTATGATCTACTTAGCTGTGTAAAACTTTGCTTTTTCAACAACTTAATTTTATATTTCTAATTCTCTATTCTCATCGGTACATACACTAAAAGTTGAATAATACACACGCCAAATTATATCGATAAAAAAAATGTGTTGAGTGTTTTTGATTTTCAAAATCATAACCACTTCAAATTGAACCAAGAGCCTAAATCCACAATCAAAGGTCATATACTTTATCAAATTTTAAACATAATGTTATTGTTGTTGTATAAAGTAGTGACAGTGCAAATATTTTGTCGATGAACAAGCAGTTCTTTCATTTATTTCATCGTCACACCGACGAAGTGTTGTTATCTAATCTTCGGTTAACTTTAAATTATAAAAAAACTAAATCCATTTCCAATATAAAATGGAATCGTTTTACGAGAATGACATCAGTTTTGTACCATTCATCGAATCAATAGCATTGAACAAAAAACGTAAGTATATCTATTGAAATTATGTGATAAGTTATTTTTTTTCTAAACATTCGAAGCTTGAGTAATTTATATGATTTTAGATCAAAATGATGGCCGAAATCTTGGCATTAGCAGTAATTGCATTGTTTTCGTATGCATTTTATAAATGGATGACATTCCATCATGATTATTTTAAGCAACGTAATTTGAAGTATTTGAATCCAAAATTACTTGGCAACACTATCGGACTGTTTTTGAATAAGTACACAGCCGCCGAATTTTCACAAATGATTTATGAATCATTCCCAAATGATAAGTAAGTTCTCTAGCTTAAAAATAAGACATTTGTAACATTAAAAATACAAGCACGTTTATGATTGCAGAGTGTATGGTTTCTTTGACTTTCGTAATCCACAGTATGTGGTCCGTGATCCGGAACTGATAAAACATATTGGTGTAAAAAGTTTCGATCACTTTGAGGATCGTATTGGATTTGCAGATGCCGATATTGATAAGTTATGGGGAAATAGTGTGCTATTTATGAAAGGTGAAAAATGGCGCCATATGCGTGCCACTTTGAGTCCAGCGTTTACCGGAAGTAAAATGAGACAAATGTTTGAATTGGTTGCTGAATATTCGGATAGTGTAGTGGAACATTTTTTAAATTTATCCAAAAACAAGCAAAAAATCAACGTTGAAATGAAAGAATTTTTCTCACGTTATACAAACGATGTGATTGCAACATGTGCGTTCGGCCTAAGAATAAATACATTTGCCGATCCAGAAAATGAATTTTATCGCAACGGTTTGAAATTAGTTGATTTCAATTCATTCACAAAACTAGTGAGAGCTTTGATTATTAAGCAAATTCCGGCGATTGCACGAATGTTGAATATTTCCTTTGCAGACAGTGCGACGGCTGAAACATTTAAAAGCATCATTATGCATACAATGGATTATCGAAAACAGAACAATATCTATCGGCCAGATATGATAAACATGTTGATGGAAGTTCGTGAAGGCACATTAAAACTTGATACCAACGAAAAAGATGGTTCTGCCACTACAAAGGAGTCTGACATTGAAAAAGTGAACATCAATCAGAGTTGGAATGATGATGAGATAGTTGCACAATGTTTTACCTTTTTTATTGGTGGTTTTGATACGACGTCAACGATGTTACAATTTGTTGCGTATGAACTGTCGATTAATCCAGATGTGCAGCAACGTTTGTATGAAGAAATCGCTAAGACAAACGAACAATTGGGTGGAAAACGCATAACATATGATGCCATTCAAAAGATGAAATATTTGGATCAAGTGACATGTGAAACATTACGAAAATGGCCTTCTCTTCCTCAAATTGATCGTATTTGTGTTAAAGATTTCGTATATGATGATGGAAATAAGTTGAAGTTTAACATCGAAAAAGGAACTCCTGTAGTCTTTCCAATTTACGGTATTCAACATGATCCCAAGTATTATACAGATCCCGAGACATTCGATCCAGAACGTTTTAGCGACGAAAATAGAACGAATATCGCACCAAACACATACAATCCATTTGGTATAGGGCCCAGGAATTGTATCGGTAAGAATAAATAACAATTGAATTGTTGAGAAAAAAAGCAGGATACTGCATATATTACCATGTACGACAATCTTTACAATTCATTTAAGAGAGATTATTTATCGGAAAAAATGCAATTCTAACCATTTACTCTTTTTTAGGGTCAAGGTTTGCACTGATGGCAATCAAATCAATTTTGTACAACTTATTATTGAACTTTTCATTTGAACCAAATGAAATGTCACAAATTCCATTAAAATTAAAAAAATCAGCCTTTAATTTTGTCGCTGAAAATGGAGTGCACATTGAACTCAAACCCCGCGGAAAATAAATATCTTATCATTATGACTTACACATCTTATAAATGACAACAACTGTCAAACTTACAAAGTATATTGAACAAACGACTGAAAACTAAATAAATCTTTTGTGTAGATAATTTTGAAGAGAACAACATTTTTGTTTTGTTATTACAATTTGGCGAAAGACAAACACAATAGTTTATAATGAGGAAATGATTATTTTTACTCTCTTCCAAACATTTCAGTGTCTGTCCGTTCTAGTTGAATATTGGACTTCAATCCGATTATGACCGTTTAATTTGCAACGACTTTATTGTTTGCATATGTTACTATTCCTCACCATACATTGATATGATTATTAAATAATTGTTTAAAAGACTACATACACAAGAACATTTTTTCTGATAGAGTGTGCTGTGTGTGATCTTTGCTATTGCAATGGTATCATGTGTAAATGTCATGGGGCGAATCACGCTAGTGAATACTAGAAAAACTAGTAAATCTAGTGCAAAGAATGACGTCACAAACGAAACCAACTTTACAACAACGGCCATATAATTTATATGAAAAACTACTGAGAGCCAACTTCACGCACTAGAATTTTCTAGTTTTCTAGTGAAATCTTATCAAAAACTAGATGCACTAGAATTTCGTGATTGACCCCATGGTAAATGTCAATGTAACTAGAAATAGACAGCTGCGATGATGTCAGCTCTTGAATGACGAGCTTTAATCATGCCCATTATCAATTTAGTTCACTTTAGACTATCAAATAGTAAGCACTGCGCTAGCGGAGTAGTATTTTTCTTTTCTAAGATAAATTCATTGGAATTGAATTTATATTCGTAAGTAAGAGTTCGTGTTTTAACAATATTTGGTCGAATGAATAACAAAAGTGTAATTAAATTTACAGTAGATAAAAATTCGACACTCATGCCGCGAATTAACAAATACGGTCAACCAATTGGTGATGAGGTTTCGAATTGGACGACACGTTCGGAACCAGAAAATGTCACCTTGGTTGGTCGCACCTGTCAAGTAGAGCCGCTTGATGATGTGAAACATACCGAGGATCTTTTTGATGCATACCTCCAGGCTCCGGATGGTAGCGATTGGACGTATCTTTTTGAAGAACGATTTGATGAATTGGAGCCATTTCGTAAATATATCAAAACCATTGCACGCGAAAAAGATCCAAAATTTTATGCAGTCATTGATTTGACCACGCATAAGGCAGTTGGAATGTATTCTCTAATGCGCATTGATCCAAAAAACGGTGTAATTGAAGTGGGCTTCATAACGTTTTCACCGTTACTAAAGCAAACAGTGCAATCAACTGAAGCACAATATCTTCTGATGGCTTATTGCTTTGATGAGCTTGGCTATCGTCGCTATGAGTGGAAGTGTGACAGTTTTCATGCTAAATCACGGAAGGCTGCTATACGATTGGGCTTCAAATATGAAGGCGTTTTTCGCAATGCAATTGTTACGAAGGGCCGTAATCGTGACACAGCATGGTTTTCAATCATTGATGGTGAATGGCCTAATATAAAATCGGCATTTGAAGCATGGCTTTCACCAAATAATTTCGACAATCAAGGAAAACAATTAAAAAATCTTGCGGAACTAAGGGAATCTTGTGGAACAGGTGAATCATAATTCCTACCGAAAATTGTACCAAATTTGAATGAAAATGAGCATTTGTTGAAGACTTTTGAGTGACATTTTTCTGTCTACCTAATGTTCTTTATTTGTTTTTATTTACAAACTTGTTGTCTGTTTTGTAGTAAATTCAAATAAAAGATTTGAAATAAATGTCATTATTCCAAGAAGATAAAGAGACAATGTTATTCTATTAATAAGCTGTTTTCAAGAATTAAATTTCATTCAAATAGCTTCCGCGTTCGAGTATGATTAAATACAAAAAAAAAGTGTAACCACAACAGACCTCTACACACTTATCAAACAATTTTAAATATAGAACGAAAGATCATTTGGCATTTGTTTCTCATCATATAAAATTGTCAAACAATATTTAATAGCTGTCAATAGTATGGATATTTCTTCGGTTTTTGCAGTTATGATTGAACTTTACATTCAGATAGATCTAGTTCGTGTTCCGTATTATATAATTTATACCCGAGTACTAACATTATTATATAAATTATATACTTATGAATGAGTCATCCGAATAGTAATGTCGAGTGTCACACCCTGTAATTGAAAAAAAGAAGAAAAAAATCATGAAATTTGCTGTTTTTATTTTAGTTTTTAAATTAACATATATATATTACTTTGTACAAAATAGTGAGCCTTTATATCCAAAGTTCAACGTATTCAAAGAGACAAACGTAAGGATCACAAATGGATGATGCATGCGAAAAATAAAGATTTGATCAAATTTTGAATAAAAATTGCACAATTGTTTTTCCAAATCGAATGGTTATTTTCGATGAAATGAAGTGAAAATTCAATTATGTAAATTGAAATTTCGATCATTGTATCGAATATATTCTATTATGGCTGTGAGGTATGCAGTAAAAGGCATTTCAAAATGAGTTTACTTTGTTATTGCAGCCTATTGTTGTTGAGAAATCATTGCTTATCCAAAGAGTGGGATACTACAGGCTGATTGGCTGAAAGTAATATTTTGAAAAGACGAAATATGAAAGAGAAAATCTAGTTTGTATCTTCTTGGCCAATTTTCCGACACACTTCTCACACACACATGCACATAGCACAATACATGTACGAACATTGTCGACTTGATAAACTTTAAAGTTTCATCTATTACTTTGAAAATGGATTTTGTTGCATGTAATCTGATCGCTTTCTCTTTCTCTCTGACACACACACTTTTCCTCTGCAAATACATTCAAGCTTACAATTTTCTTTTATATACTTTTCGATATCAGCCTCGAGATTTCAAGTGTGAATGAGTTTGTTGTTGGTTGTGTCGTTCGTTTTCTCAATGCCAATTTATTTGCAACACTCGAGGAGTTTTATCACATAAGAATCAATTGCATGGTTTCTCTTATGGAAATTGAAGTGTTCTCTCTCTCTCGCTCTCTCTTAAAAAAGATCTATTCGCCACATCAAAACCTCTTTCCTTTATGTGATTCGACACTCGGCGACACTATAATATATAGCGCCAAAAAATCGGATGTGAATTGTACGGAAAGTTGGAAAAAAGAGAAATATAACCGCATCGACACTTTCAACAATGAAATGTTAGTCATGATAATGATATGAACGCGAATACGAGAATAAAAACAAAAATATAGGAAATGGAAGAGTTGGTTTTGAAGATGTTTTTCGATCATGTGATAGGGAGGAATGGCTTGCTTGGATAGCCACTTCAATGGCGTATTTTTTTCTTCTTACTTGAAGCACCGAAAATAAAACATTGTTTCATTTTAAATTCTTTCCGTTTTGATTTGATGGCAGTCACTTTGTAAGAGTTTTCAATTATTTCCTGCTTCGTCTCTCTCTCTCTCTCACTCATACGCACACAATATAGTATATTTGAAGCCAAGTGTTTTGTGCCAAAGTCAATTTCAATTGTTCATTTTGCTACTCATCGTTATTGTCGATCTATATTGATTCCATTGGAATATGTTAGGCGACTCTTAAAAGCGTTTCCGCTTTTTTGCAACTGTTTTCACTTATTTTAATCACGATTCCATTTTCAAACAAACAAAAATCAGCCTTATGCGAACCACCCAATTTTCAACACGAGATCCAATGCTTTGATTCAACTCAGCTGGATCAATTTTATAAAATGTATATCATCATTCGTCTTGGGGCGAATTCCATATTTTACATGCGACGATCGTTGTCAGGTCAGTGCATCATGCACAAAAAGAATAGCAACCGAGAGAGAGAGAGAGAGAGAGAGAGAGAGAGAGAGAGAGAGAAGAAATTATTTCTCTCGATAGTGTTGTCATGAATTATTTATTTGTTTACCTTGTGAAGTGCATCGTGAATTTGATTTTCAGAGAGAGAAAGAGAGCCATTTTCTATTTCATTGAAACTATTGTTTTCAATCGAATGAACATCTTTGTCTGTGCGCTCGCTTTGAGAATATTCGCACAATTCATGTGGGAATTCAAGCGAATGAATGAATATGATACGGACGCTATTGCCTTTGTTGTTGTTGATATATTTTGTTGTTGTTTCAATAGTATAAATTCTCAAACTTCAAAGATCAAGGCATTGAAATGCCATGAGGCTTATAAACTTTTAAGATGGAATTCAAAATGTATGCCGAATTTGCCTCTTGGTTGCCCCGAGTTGAGTCAACTTTCTTGGGGCCTTCACATTTTCAAACAAAACCGAATACCGTAATTAAACCAAACAGCCAAGCCAACCGTTTTGTCGTTGTGGTTTTGTCATCCATTTTACCCCAAAATTTTTAATCTATATGCGAGTGTGAGTGTATGTAACTCACCATCAGTTCGATTCAATCGCTGAAATAGAGAATACAATGAGAGAATTCTGTTCTTTTTTTTGTTTCTTTGAATATTTCGACATCTGGATTTGTCAACATCCGATATACTTTGGACTATGGATAGTTTTTGGACGACTCGCATAATTGAAATTATATATTTTTTTAATGTGAAAAAGCTTATTTTCAAGAGAATACTGGCTTTTTGTGTGTGAGAGTTTAAATTTGAATTATAGAGAAGTGGAATAAAAATTCCGGCACTCGGCCGTGGTGTGTGTAACTGTGTATGGAATATTGAAAGTGCGATTTCTTAAGAAAAATCTTGAATGCAATATGTATATGAATTGTAAAAAAGGCAATTCGTCAGAATGATACGTGATGTGTATGTGTGTATTCAACTCAATGCGGGAAGTTTAATAATTTTAAGTGCTCTTGCATCACGATTCATTCATTCTTGGTACTTTAAAAATGTTATTGTTTGCTTTTTTAATGCTTTTATGAGCTTGCTTTTGTTTGAATGCGTTGATATTCAGCAGTTTAGCTTCAGCATAAGCTTTTCGCATATTTTCTTTTATCAATTCTTTCGTATGCGTTGAGCTTTTCATCATAATTCAAATGACGCTTAGAGTGGACACAATTTTCGCTTATTCTTATGCGAGAAAGTTGGCCAATTTTCTCTATGCACTGAATAGTATGCATAGGTGGTCAGAGGGCATGTCTTTTTTTCGCACACGCTTTAAAAAACGAAAAAATTGAGTTTGGCCTCCATCTGAACTTTTCGATTTAGATTTTTTCACGAGAAAGTGAAAGTGAGCCCTTTTTTGCTTTTCACTTTTTTCGCTTTTTCTTATGAAAGTTCTTTCGATTAGGCTCCACTATTTGTCAGTCCTCTCTCGCAGAACTTTCTTTTGCCACATTTATGGTGTATGTGAGACACCCTAATCGAAATGCAAGAGTATCCTTTGTCATTTTTTTTCTATATGCTTCCGTTCTTATTCGATGCACTGAGTACAGAATGAACTGTCATAACGCCATTACATTATTCGCAATGTATATTTGCATTTATGGTTAAAAACGAGTGGCATTGTGAGTGCGGTGCTTTTGTGCCGAAGCGATTATATTCAATATGTGGCGCACTGCACATGCACACATTATTCATTATTCAAATCGAAAAACAATAAGATCGAGGCTTTGTCTTTTACATTGCCTTTTGTATTTATTTATCCATTGCAGTTTGTAGTTGCCAACCATTCCGGACACCATACAAATAGAGAGCAAAACAAATACATTGCACTGAAGGACAAATTCCATTAAAGCGACGATTTTTTTTTCGTTCATTTTCAAGTGTGAGGGAAGCGGACGAGCGTTCAAGGAAGAGATGAGCAGTTGCAGTGAGAAATATCGCGAAAGTGACTGTTGCATTATTATCAAAAGCAAACGACTTTATATTCACCCAAAGCGTCACGAAATATGATGCATTCGGCTTTTTCGCTTTTGAAATGTTTATAGCGTTTATTGTTAAGTTAATTTTTTTTTCATTTCTTATTTGTTCTGTTATCATTCAGCATAGTATTCAATTGTTGCTTTCTCCATATATTTTTATTTGCCGGAGTTCTATTGTTTAAAAATGCACGCACACATACGTTAATAGCGAGAGAAAAAATCTGCTGGCTTGAGTGTAAAAAAATGAAGGAAAAAAAAACTATTGGCATAATTCGCAGAAATAGCGTAACTTGTGACGCGGGTATTATAGAAACTGAATATATTCAAAGACAAAAATGAAGCCCGGATTTCATTAAAAGTAAAAAAAGAATGGCTGCTTTATGGATTGTGTGTGTTTTGCATTTTAGCACTTATTAAAGCGAATCACTTTGTTTATTGATGCCTTCTTTTATGAATTGAAAAAGCAATCATTTCATTTGTGGTTGAATACCGTACTTATGTATAATCGTCACGTTTTTCGTTATTATTTTAACAAATTGTCCACAAGGATTATAATTTCCTGCTGGTAATATTCAATACACCGAATGGCCATGCCATAGGCAAATGATTTGAATGAAACAATTTCTAGAGACTTCCCCCTTCTTTCAAATCAATGTCAACCAAAAATTGAACCGAATCAACGTCATTTCAGTATTTAAATAGAAAGAGAGGAGGATAAAGAAATATCCCTTTCAAATAATGAGATATTTCCGGTTTAATAAATTGATTTCTGTCTGCAATTGCAATTCATTTTGGAATATATCAAATATATTCAAATGGAAATGTTTCATTGACTGCATCATTTTCCATTCAAATGATGGCATAAAAGTCTTAAACTCGTAATGCCTCCATGGTATCATTTTCATTTTAAAATGAATTTCATCGCTTTATTTACTCAGTTTACTTGATACGCATGGTGTAATTCAATCGGCTTTTATCATTAAATCGTTTCGACTGTTTTTACTCAGCATCATTTTGAATTGACCACAATTTAAAGCGCCTCTGATGAAAATTGCACATCTGTTTATTTTCATTTTTTTCTTCTTAAAATCGTTATTGTTGATAACTCTGGTTTTTAAGCCGTTTAAATGTGTTCTTATATTTGTTATTATTGGTGGGGTGTAAATGTGTATTTTTGTCCACACTATGAATAAAATTCAATTCCGGCAATTGATGTCAATTTCATTTTGATTTGATGTTGATTTCGCTTTCTTTCATTATCTCGCTCGCTCTCCCTTTCACCATCATTATTATCGTTTCATTGGAGCGTTACTTCGTAATCATCATTACTATGAAGTGTTTCAAAGTCGTTTGAGTGCA